GACATTTTTGACTGACTGGTGAGACACTATCAAATTTTTCAAGCCCTGTATACAGTATATCTTATATACAGTATATATACACACTTTTAAACCATTTAAAGAGGGTGCATTGGAGCACACATCAGTTGCACAGAAGTATGCAGTGATGTGCCATGCACGAAGGGCAGTTTTGTGTGTCTCAGTAACAAGTGTGAAACCATGGCCACCTTGCACCTTGTGGGAGGGTGGCCAGTCTGTTTCCATTAAAGGAGAAGTATTGGGAAAGTAACATAATTAGAGCATAGAGCTGCAGTGTCCCACAGCGGCTTAATACACTGAAAGCTGAGCGGTCATGTAACCGCTGATGCATCCAGATGCATTCCAATGTCTGGATTTACTGAAATTCACACGAACATTAATTTGGAACTAAACGAAATTTCCATGTCTACTGGTTATCCACCACACTATTTGGGTCTCGCTATACACTCTCACACTGTTCCAGTACAGACTGAATCTCCCCCAGCGTTTAATTGTTATTTTTATTACTCAAGTGTGAGAGGGTATATGTAGCTATTAACTCCAGTCTACTGCTAAACAGCTAAATTGCAGGGAGCCAATCAGTCTGATCAAATGTAAATGTCTAGCGATAAATACATTCCAATCTGGACATAACAGCGTTTTGAGAATATAAATATTTTTTTTTTTTGCATGGTCCTCACCTGCAGTATCCACACTGCTCTTCCTTTCTGCTCCCAGCAACCCCTTTGGATTGTTCATCACTTTCACCTCCAGAATTCTCCTGTAAATATACTATCATTCACCTTCAGTGCCCTCTGCCCATCTTGCCAGTACTGTTCCTCCTATCTGCTTCTATTGTCACCCTGGTTGTATCCTCTCCTTTCCCTGTAGTATCCCCTCTTCATCCACGACCACTGAAACTTCATGTACTGGCACTCACCTCCACATCCATTGTCCCACATGTACTGCTGCTCTCTTCCTGCACTCCCAGTACTGCTTCCCACCCCAGCCCCCTTTTCTCGTACTTTTGCTCTTCTCATCCAGTGTCCACCCCCTACTGATTCTTGCCTTACCCATCTACATCTCCCCATGCTAAGCCTCTCATTTACCTTCAGCATCCCTCCTCATACCACCTACATCATCCCTGCCTTAAAGCTCTTCCTTTCCCTCCAGCATTCTTCTGTTCTTCTTCTTCTCTACTGTCTCACCTCTATGACATCTTGTCATAAAGCCACAATCCAGTGAGCATGGGAGATTTACTTGCCAACCATTGTAGAACTCCCCTACTCTTTCTCTTGCTTCAATATAGTGAATGGGCTGGCTTTTCCAATTTTGAGTTTGCGTTTGAGTCTGATGGCCATGGTTCAAAGGCCGTGCAGTCCATTATAGTTTTACAAAAAAATCACATGGGTGTATTCAGACAAAAAATTGCCAGAACCCTGAATTTGAAATAAGAGGGTTTGCAGTAAATTCATGTTCAGGCGAATGAAACTCATTGGCCTTGCATGACTGTTATAGACTGATCTTATTTTTTTGTCCAGTTTTATAAATCTAAAGCCTGAACATTTAAGATACTTTAGCTGTTATATCCAGGCAAATAATTAGTTTATTTCCTAAGGTATTATCTGTTTATCACCTCCTAAAGTGAAACATCTAAATTCACAGCTGAAAAAGAAAGTGTGTAGCCACATTGGCCTAAGCAGGAGTGACTCCCTTTAAATTCAGCTTTGCTGGGCTGTAATTAGCCTAAGCTGAATTGTTGGCCTGAGTTTGGGGCTTAGGCTGCCACAGACTTGCTGGAGGGGTCTCCCCAAGAGGAGAGGAGTTTGATCCTAGGAAAATTCACCAGGTAGGGATTTGGCTGGAGGTGCCTGATAAGCCAGAGGTGGACTTGGATCTTACAGGAAGCTGGTGTCTTGTCCTAAAGATGAAGCTGCATAGATTATTACAGCCAAATGTCTCTAATCACTGGATGCTTGTTTGTCTTAAAGGTCCTTTACCTAATACAGGAGTCTTCCATGTCCCTAGGGGTGTCCTGTGCCCTCATCCTCTCTCCCTGAGTTTAAAGTGGTGAATAAAATCTAAGATTTAGTTCTAAATTGACTGACATCTGTTCACAACTTTACTATATGTCAAGGACCTTCCTGACCTCTGGGGGTCCTTAAATGCTTTTAGGGAGTAAGGGGGTGCTACCGATGCATATTTTATCACTTGCCAAAATATTTATTATTCTGGCCAGACCTAAGTTAAGGTCTAGAGCACAATAGGTCACATACTGAGCCCCAGCAGCTCCAGTGGACTTTGTTGTTGGAACTGCTGGCTATAAATGTCCAACCCTAACCACAAGCTCTAAAACAATCATTTCCACGGATTGTTACCTGCTAAAGAGAACTCAATTGCACAAAAGAACACAATGATTTGGCATTGTGTTTAAAGGGGGCATACAATTAAGTCATCTATGATGTTACCAGCACTTTTTGTCACCTTGGGAAGCATGGTTAGATGGCGCAAAGTTATCTGTTGGTGCATAGGAGGGCTAGACCAGACCAGGACTCCCAAGACCAGATTGAGACCCCCGCTCAATCTGGGATGGGAAAAAAATGTTTTTTTCAAAAATTAATCGGCCAAGTTTAAAAAAGATAAATACATCAATACATTAAATATCCCCTGTATACACTAATCTTTAGTTCTCATCAAATATGTCAGATGCTCTGGATGACATTTAATTTTACTATGTGAGCATCAAATATTCTTGTGAGCGAACACCATGTCATTCATAATTTTAATGTTTGAAACTCTGTAAATCTGTCGTAGTCATGCTCATTTGTGCCCATGTATGCCAAACTTGATCTTCATGTTGCACAAACAAATTATTTTTTTCCTAAGACACATCATTATGTAATATCACAAAGTGAGAAAAGCTTGTCTGAATCAAAACATCCCCTTGGTTAGTTTGTCACACAGCCAATCAGAAAAGGAGCTGGAGTTGGTAAATGAATTGAATTGGGAATGTTGCAAAGGGAACAAAAGAAACTCTTGATCAAAACGTCAGCTTTGTCGTTGTATCTTATAACCAATTAAGGAAAGAGCTGAGAGCCTTTTAAATATCAGCATTTTTTAGAAGAGAATATGTTTGCTCAAAATAAAGGTAGAAAACATCAACAGGGGAAAGCAGGATAAGTGAACAATCTAGGACAAAATAGCTGATTTTTTTAAAATTCTCCAATTCAGCTCCCTATCCAGTTCAGCTATTTCGGCCTAGATTGTTCACTTCTCCAAACTCCTTACCCTTTTGTAACAACCCTGCAATTATTTTATTGCTAGCATCTTAGTAAATAGTATTAGCAATTTTACAAAAACTAAGATATTGTTTGGCCTTTCAGACATGTCAGGGTCCACATTTAAGGCACTCTGTAAAGTGAGCACTATACAGAGACTACTTTCTTTGCTATAAAAACTAAAGCACAAATCATTTACTTTCTTTGCTCCCACTCCCTTCAGAACCTTATGAGACTAATTTTCTAAAGGAGCAAAAAATCCTTACACAATAAATTGTGTGAATATTTATTTCATTTATTCAATCATACAAAAAGCAAACTCATTTTCACAGATTTAACAAGAAATGGGTTTAGGTGAATGTAATGTGTTTAAGGGTCAGCAAAAATGAAGCAATGTCTGTGAGTAGGTCCAAATTAGATAAGCAGTTATTTGACACATGGGTGGGGGGGAAGCTTAAAAGTCAAAGGACCGCCAACCACCCCTAATGATGGTATAGGTCAGCGATGGCGAACCTATGGCACGCGTGTCATAGGTGCCGGTTGCCGCAGCCCACACACTCCAAGTTCTCACCTGGGGTGCTCCACGGGTCTCAAAGTAATGTTAAGTTTTTAAAGATGGCCACCGCAAATCGCGCTGGCCATCTTTAAACCTGGCAGGTGCCCAGATCTTATTTAATATATTGTTGAACCGGCAATATATTAAATAATAATCATCCCATGGTGGTCCAGTAGAGGATAAGTATGATCTGCATCTCTTGCTGATGCAGCCAATACTGATTGCTCCCTCATAGGGCCGTTGCTCACAGGCAGGAGCAATTAGTATGGTATGAATCAGCCAGAGATGCAGATCACACTGATCCTCCACTGAATCACCAGGGATAAGCCTCCAGTGCCCCACTGGACCCCAGGGATGCAGCCCCCTCCCTGCAAAACAGGTAAGCAGGAGAGTGGGCAATGTTTTAATTTCATTTTTATTGTGTGATGTGTGTGTTTTATTCAGTGTATAAATGTTTGAATAAGTGTTTCCCTATTTTGCCTAAGCAGTGATGCTAAATGTTTATTAAACCCCAGTGCCCAAACTGCAACACAATACTAACTTGGCACTTTGAGATAAATAAATTGATTGGGCACTCGATTCAAAAACGCTCGCCATCACTGGTATTTATGCATTTTGCAAATCAAGATAAAAAGCAAGATCAAACACCATTGGTTAATAGCAACTAAGTACTTCATTTTTGTCCAGAAACTACATCACATAAGTTCAAGTTCCTCCATGCCCACCACATGGGCTCTCCAAGATAAGGTTAGCAAGATGGGTTTAGATGTCCTTGGCAATGTTCCCCTCTTTGTGGCGTTTCTGGAAATATCTCTTCATAATTCGCAAATATGTTTACAGCAAAATTATCCTTACATAAGTAGAAATGGATGTCTCTCTTAAGATGGCTGACATCGCTACAGAATGGCAGGTAATTAGGGATGTTCAAATACCAGTGCCGATACTTGGGCAGTCGCAGAAGTTGCAGCTGTGACAGGACACTGGCATTCCGCCACTGTCCTTAAATCATTAGTCTGTATAGTTTTAGAAAAACTGTCACATAATACAAAAAAAAATGTACTTGTGCGAAGTACGGTACTTGGTATCTGAACATCCTTACAGGTAATTAAGTCAGTCAGTAAGGCTTCAAATTTCCCTTCACAAATGTCATAATTTATTTCAATAATTGCCTAACAAATGTAGGTCATAAGCATTTGAACTTCATTTCTAACTACTGTTTCTGGGGGGTGAACGTCATTGGAGTCAAATGCATTGGTCATATCCCATCCATTGACAAAACCAACATTGAGGTCACTGAAAATTATTTCCATTATTGAATAATGAACAGAAGCATGAAAATCACTCATGGTTTCAATGTTTTTTTTCATTGCGCTTGTATTTTCTGTCTTAATAATAACTTTGGTTTGTGGACTTCTAAGAAAGAGGCGTTCAATAGCACGTCGTATATTAAGGAGCCGTCTAATGAAGTGAAAAATGGGGTATGCTTTAAAATGTGCCCCTATAGTTAGTGCAATCACAGTACGCTGATCACCTCCAATTAGGTCAATTTCTCGTGCAATAGTGCGCTCCTCCTTCCAGGACTGATATGAGCTACCAAGAAATGGAAAGGTGTGCCTTTTCCAAGATATCATCATATTCCTTTTCATGTCCAAACTTAAAATTTGACGTGCCCAATTGTCTTCATAAAGGTGGAATTGTGTCAATGCTAAGAAAAAAAAAGTGAATTGACAGTATTCAAATTAGAAAAAATAGGTTTCCTCTGTATATCTTAAAATAACTTTTCAAAGAACCTAAACAATGACCATAAAAAAATATTACATTTTAAGTGACCTAGTTAGACTCTGAAATGCCTGCTTTTTTAAGTCGCACTGATTTTTTTACTTTCTTACCCAATCTTACAGACTGAAATCCAAATCTAAAGGTCCCCCAGAATCTTAAATAGCAATGTTTTACTTCAACACATAGGCTGCTTTGAGTTGCTATACTCAAGGTATAGCAACTCATACAAACTATTTAGAGATCTGCAGCGTTCAAGTATCAGTCATGGCTGAACAGTGGTGCAAGAGGAGCCAACAGCTAGCTAGCATGTAAATACAATGGCAGAGCATCATTGAGGCATTGAAGAGCTGTTAGACTTTAAGAAATTGGAACGGGTTGACGCCAAGGGTGGAGAATGCACCTCCTCCTGCAGCATATGAACAGAGGGGTGTCCAAGACTAGTATCTTACCCCAAAATATGCTGCCTCTCCAAAATATAATATGGATCTACAACCTTCTCATCCAGGGGCGGACTGGGCCGGGGGGCAGGGTGTCAATTGCCCCCCGGGCCTCTCTGCTGCCCGCGGCCGTCAAGGGGCCCGCCACTGGCCCCCGCTAAAAGAATCTTCCGGCCGCCGGTGCCGCGGCCCCCTCTTCCGCCACGTACAGAGTGCAGAGCCGCTACAGATGCTGCTCTGTACTCGGCGGCCGCTCGCTCCTCAAGGCTGACCTCTGAAGGCCCCAGCGGGCGGCCCTCTAAGGTGCACATGCCATGAAGAAAGGGGGTCATGAAAACAGCTGATTCGGATGACTCGGCCCCACTGGAAGTGACACAGTCGAGAAAATGTATAGGATCAAGAATAATTATAGAACACTGACTTTGACACTCTCCGGCCCCTCCCACTCTCCTCCTACAGCTCACAGCCCAGAAGCATGGACAGCCAGCGTTGGTCTACAGTGGGTGAGAGTCCCTAAGTAGCGGGCATGGAGCGGAGTAAGGCCAGAACCATGTAGGGAGCTCACTGGGAGGAGAGCACCATCCCCCAGTCAGTCACCCCTTTCATGGACTTACTAGGAGTCCTCACATCACCTGACCGTTCACACTACCGTTACATGGATGGCAAAAGTGGCAGACGGGCGGGGAGAAGGCGGGGGAAGAGGCAGAGCGGGAGGGGGGCCAAGTTGCTGCACCATGGGCCTCTGGGTTGTACTTGCCCCCTGGGCTAAAAGTTGCCAGTCAGCCCCTGTTCCCATCCCAGTTTAAAATCTTTCTTGCTAACAATCTGGTGCAGGCTCCCCATTGGGCATGCTCAGATGTAGAGGAGTGATACTAATGACGTCAATTATGTCCCAGCATGGAAAGCAAGACGAATTTTGGTGGGAAGGGCCAGACCCTCCCACCAGAAGTGATGCTGTAGTTGGGAGAGAGGACAAGCTATGTGATCTTCCTTATACAGCTAGCATTCGATCACCGGGAGTCTTGGGCATGAATTATTTTTGGAAAGTGTGCTAAAGGAGACAACCTTGTCAGCTGGCTCTTTTTATATGTTTATGACTCTAACATTAAAGAAATCCCTCTTCTCTTTTTTCTATATGAAACCATATTATGTCTTAGTTAAGACTTATTAATACTTATTTCAGTCTGACAGTATCTATTGTGTTTGGAAGTACTGGGTTAAGATATTAGATAATATACTTATATGTTTTGTTATACTGCATGGCCTTATTTTATTTTGAAGGGTAAAATTTTATTATCTAACTTTCTCTCTTTCATTAAAGCCTATTTTGCTTCCCTTTTGCTGATCATCAACTATGTAAGAATATTGTTGTCATTTTACAATGCACGGCATTATATAAATGACATCTGGGGCACTGTTTTATCTAGGCATAAGGAGATCAACATAACATCACATAAATATATTCACTTATTTTTATAGTGAATGTGCAATATATACTTTTTTGTCTTGATCATGTGGTGTCGTTGTGTTTATTATAAATGTGAGATACATATTTGTGATATAATTATAGCTATATATGTAATTTTATGTTCATTAAAATTATGTTTTGCAATAAGACTACAATTATATCTATTGTTTCAGACAAATATACAGAACAGTGAACCATTAAGCAAATATTCTCTAAATTGATTCTGTAGAAGTGGATAAAATCCATGAAACGCGTTGACCTTCTAAAGAAATTATAAATGTAATATGTTAAATCCTATAGTGGCTTAAAACACTACTGTATATTTATGTGCTTTTAATCTTTTTTAAATTTCAATATTTTCTCCCTCTCAGTCTTTCAGTCTCTCAAACAGGTTCCTTGGCTGTCAACGACCCTCTCAACCTCTCCCAGCATCCCACGGGTGTTCCACGTGTGCTTCAAGCATGCAGCAGAGTATACCTGTGGCACTGTGCTTCCTGCACACCCACCACTCCCCTGCGCTGTGGTCCTGATTCCTAATAAGTAGTGATGGGCCGAACAGGCCTGAGTTTGGTTTGAATTCGAACTTTAGAACCTCCAAAAAGTTTGAACTCGAGCTCATTGCAAGGCAATGGGGGTAGAACTTTCAAAAACAATTTGTCCCCACTAAGAGGGCTTATATGCAATTTATTGGCCATTAAAAGTGTATGAGGATCTGGGTACTACCCTGGGGGACAGGAATCAATGAAAAAAAACCTTTTTAAAAAATACAATTTTTAACCCCTTTGTGACTGACGATGTACAGTGTATGCCGCCAGCAAGTTTAAACTTGTAAAGCCAACTGTCGGCTTTACAGTAGAAGCGATTCTGGTGACTCAGCTGTCGCCAGATCGCTTCTACGGTCCCGTGAAGGGGCCGCCCCCCGACCGACACCCCCGCCGTGATTCCCGGGCTCTGTTACACCTCCTACGGGCCCGGGACCAGCTTCTTTGGTGTCGGCAGGAGCTGGGAAGGAGATGGATGAACCTCCTTTCGTCGATTCCCCTCCCCATTCTATGGGACCGGGAGCGATGCAGATTGCATCACTTCCGGTCCCTGGGCTGTCAGTGCTGGGCTCCCGAAGCCCAGCTATAAGATATTTAAGTGCGATCTGCAATTAAAGTAAAGTAAAAAAAGCAAAACAGTTTTTATAATTATAAGTGTAAACAGGTGAATCTGCGCTTCTGGAGAGGGGTGGTAGTTAGAATGAGTGAATAAATTAAATTAATTTAATAAATTAAAAATATATGTGTGAATAAATAAACCCAAAGCTGCTCTGAAAAGGGGTGAATCCTAGTAAGATCGAAAGAAAAACAAAGTGCTAAGGGTAAATGGATGTGCCAAAAAAGTGAACAATAGGTTTTCTGGCGAGGCCAGTCTAGAACCTAATGCAAAAATATATAAAATAGGACTAACTTCCTAAAAGTATATAAAACCACTTTAGCGAAAATGCAACAATTAAAACCAATAAAATTCATTCCAATGAAATATATAAACGAAAAGTGTTTAGAAACATCAAAATAGTGTCCAATGAATTAAAAAAAAAATCCACTGCTTTCAAACCTTTATTCTGGGGTATACAGGTATAGAGAGAAGCTATACCAAAGGATCAACTGTTTTTCTAGCAACCATTTGAGTGACTTTAGATCCTGTTCAATAGTGGTGTTAGTTAATTTTTCGAAGCTGAACACTTCCTCAAGGTTAATGGATCTAGTTTGAAGAAAATTATATATTTCCATAGCTGCAGATAAAAAGCTGCAGACCAATAGATGTAAAAGACATAAAAAACGCAAAAGAGAGAGAGAAGGGTTAACCATCCCCCCCTAATAGATCATGATTCTAGTTCCCAAAACAAAAGACCCCTAATACACACAACCCGTCCTAATTTACCCCTCTCACAACGATATCACCCTATAATGGAACAAGAAGAGGAAGATCAGGAATCCCCGTTTGGTACAAATGATCTAACCCCCAAAACACAGGTTTTTTCAGAACACACCCGCCACAATCCTCCCTACAAAGACATACATTTAAGGGGACATACGACTTATCCACCCCAGAGAGGGAGGCGCCCTCCCTGGACATACAGAAACCATATGGGATGGGAAGACCGTACAGAACGAAATTGGGGAGACCAAACACATATAAGGGGAAGGGGAAGGAAGGGTCCATATGGGAATCAGAGACCCCACTTCAGAAATCAAAACCCACAAGGAGGGGCTGTAGAGGGGGACAAAAATTACATAACAGGGTACAACAGAACCTGGTAACGGGTGGCATTTTCAATCTAAGTTTGGTCCCTCTTAGTGCTGATGAAGAAAGGGTCCTAAACTTGGGATTGAAATACGCCCCCGTGCACAATCTAAACAAATTCTCCACTTATGTAGACCTTCAGAAATTCATCAGAAAACTTAATATAAAAAAGTACTACTCTTCTTCATCTAACACTACCACACCTTACACTACCAACACCCAAGAGAGAAAATATATATATACTCCACTTAAAAACAATTCCATTTTTAATCCTGAAAACAATTCCAACCACTTCGTAGAAGTTTTTAAAAGCTTAGTGGAAGAGGACATTAGATCCCTAAATATCAAACACTTTAAAAATAAAGCATTTATTAGCAAAGGAATTGAATCTCGTGAGGACAGAAAAGATATTGTCATTAGGCCCGCAGATAAAGGTGGAGCGGTAGTCGTGATGAACAGAACTTATTATGAGTTGGAAATGGAAAACATCTTACAAACTAGGGATACTTATAAATTTTTAAAGAAAAATCCCACTTATGAATTTAAAAAGGAACTAACAGTTTTGATTAATAAGGGTTACAAAAGTGAACTAATAACGAAAAAAGAAAAGGAATATTTACTACCCTCAGTGAGTAAATTACCAACAATTTATTTTCTTCCTAAGATCCATAAAGACAAGGATAAAACCCCAGGAAGACCCATAATTAGCGGTATTAATTCCCTTACAGCACG